AATATGCATGATGTCTGAACGAAAACAAAAAATGTCGTCGATATCATATGAAAAGAAATTCAGCAAAATAAAAAAAAAACAAAAATGCAATAATACATAAAGCAATAACGCGTCGCAAATGAATTCATACGATTTCGTTACCATTCCACTCAAAAACAAAGAATATTCATCAATGGTTTTCTAATATAAAAACATTTCCAAATGAAACAGCAGGCAAAACAATACAATAATAAATACAATTATGATCGCTGGTTTCATATGAATGTATATGGTGTCGTTACTATGCCACTCCAAAACAAAGAACAGTCAATGTTTTTCTTATATATATACAATTATACAATAAGCAACAGAAACCATAATAAATACAAGTACGATCGCTTGTTGCATGTGAATGTGCATGATTTCGTTATCAGTCCATTCAAAAACAAAGAATATTCAATGGCTTTCTATTATAAAAAAAACAATTTAAATAGATACAATAAGCAAACAAAAAAAACACGAATAACTACAAGCATGATCGCTTGTGTCATATGATTTTACATGATTTCGTTACGATTCCGTTATTGTTACGATAAAATGAATAAATAAATCATTACCCTGTGACGTACCCAACCCATTTGTATCAATGGAAACGAGGAGGTGGCCGAAACTTGTATGGACAATCAACTTGATGTGTAAGCTACTTGGGAGGCGTCACTGTGCTGGGCCCCGCAAGCAGGCCTCGAAAGTGGCGACAGTTTCACAGATCGCAGCCCCCCAGGTATGGCGAGGTCAAATTTGAATCTGCGTGTGGCGTCACTGTGCTGGGCCCCCCAGCAGGCCTCGAAAGTGGCGACAGTTTCACAGATCGCAGCCCCCCAGGGATGGCGAGGTCCCATTTGAGTCTGCGGTGAGTACCCACTGTGCTGGGCCCCTCAGCAGCCCTCGAAAGTGGCGACAGCTTCACAGATCGCAGCCCCCCAGGGATGGCGAGGTCCCGTTTGAGCATGCGGTGAGTACCCACTGTGCTGGGCCCCCCAGCAGCCCTCGAAAGTGGCGACAGTTTCACAGATCGCAGCCCCCCAGGGAAGGCGAGGTCCCATTTGAGTCCGCGGTGAGTACCCACTGCGCTGCCCCCCCTCCAGCAGGCCTCGAGAGTGGCGACAGTTTCACATATCGCAGCCCCCCCAGGGATGGCGAGGTCGAATCTGAGTCTGCGGTGGGTACCCACTGTGCTGGGCCCGTCAGCAGCCCTCGAAAGTGGCGACAATTTCACAGATCGCAGCCCCCCAGGGATGGCGAGGTCTAATTTGAATCTGCGGTGAGTACCCACTGTGCTGGGTCCCTCAGCAGCCCTCGAAAGTGGAAAGAGTTTCACAGATCGCAGCCCCCCAGGGATGGCGAGGTCCCATGTGAGTCTGCGGTGAGTACCCACTGTGCTGGGCCCCTCAGCAGCCCTCGAAAGTGGCGACAGTTTCACAGATCGCAGCCCCCCAGGGATGGCGAGGTTTCATTTGAGTCTACGGTGAGTACCCACTGTGCTGGGCCCCAGCGCCCTCGAAAGTGGCGACAGTTTCACAGATCGCAGCCCCCCAGGGATGGCGAGGTCTAATTTGAGTCTGCGGTGAGTACCCACTGTGCTGGGCCCCTCAGCAGGCCTCGAAAGTGGCGACAGTTTCACAGATCGCAGCCCCCCAGGGATGGCGAGGTCCCATTTGAGTCTGCGGTGGGTACCCACTGTGCTGGGCCCCCCAGCAGCCCTCGAAAGTGGCGACAGTTTCACAGATCGCAGCCCCCCAGGGATGGCGAGGTCCATTTGAGTCTGCGGTGAGTACCCACTGTGCTGGGCCCCCCAGCAGGCCTCGAAAGTGGCGACAGTTTCACAGATCGCAGCCCCCCAGGGATGGCGAGGTCCAACCCACTGTGCTGGCCCCCCAGCAGCCCTCGAAAGACAGTTTCACAGATCGCAGCCCCCCAGGGATGGCGAGGTGAGTCCGCCGTGGGTACCCACTGCGCTGGGCCCCCCAGCAGCCCTCGAAAGTGGCGACAGTTTCACAGATCGCAGCCCCCCAGGGATGGCGAGGTCCCATTTGAGTCTGCGGTGAGTACCCACTGTGCTGGGCCCCCCAGCAGCCCTCGAAAGTGGCGACAGTTTCACAGATCGCAGCCCCCCAGGGATGGCGAGGTCCCATTTGAGTCTGCGGTGAGTACCCACTGTGCTGGGCCCCCCCAGCAGCCCTCGAAAGTGGCGACAGTTTCACAGATCGCAACCCCCCAGCTGGCACGCAGCGACGAGCGAGGCAAAAGGCAAGGGGGAAGAGGGGCGGGAAGGAAGGAAGGAAGAAAGGAGACTCGCGAGCAGTGCTCTATTCCAAAACGAGAACCCAAAGCAGGAGGGTTGGGAAAAAATGAAAATTACCCTGTGACGTACCCAACCCATTTGTATCAATGGAAACGAGGAGTTGGCCGAATCTTGTATGGACAATCAACTTGATGTGTAAGCTACTCGGGAGGCGTCACTGTGCTGGGCCCCGCAAGCAGGCCTCGAAAGTGGCGACAGTTTCACAGATCGCAGCCCCCCAGGTATGGCGAGGTCAAATTTGAATCTGCGTGTAGCGTCACTGTGCTGGGCCCCTCAGCAGCCCTCGAAAGTGGCGACAGTTTCACAGATCGCAGCCCCCCAGGGATGGCGAGGTCCCATTTGAATCTGCGTGTGGGTACCCACTGTGCTGGGCCCCATCAGCAGCCCTCGAAAGTGGCGACAGTTTCACAGATCGCAGCCCCCCAGGGATGGCGAGGTCCATTTGAGTCTGCGGTGAGTACCCTCTGTGCTGGGCCCCTCAGCAGCCCTCGAAAGTAGCGACAGTTTCACAGATCGCAGCCCCCCAGGGATGGCGAGGTCCCATTTGAGACCGCGGTGAATGCCCACTGTGCTGGGCCCCTCAGCAGCCCTCGAAAGTGGCGACAGTTTCACAGATCGCAGCCCCCCAGGGATGGCGAGGTCGAATTTGAGTCTGCGGTGAGTACCCACTGTGCTGGGCCCCAGCAGGCGAAACAGTTTCACAGATCGCAGCCCCCCAGGGATGGCGAGGTCCCATTTGAGTCTGCGGTGAGTACCCACTGTGCTGGGCCCCCCAGCAGCCCTCGAAAGTGGCGACAGTTTCACAGATCGCAGCCCCCCAGGGATGGCGAGGTCCCAGTCTGCGGTGACAGGCAAAGTACTACCCCTGCGGTGATGAGCTGGGCCCCCAGCAGCCTCGAAAGTGGCGACAGTTCACAGATCGCAGCCCCCCAGGGATGCGAGGTCCATTTGAGTCTGCGGTGAGTACCCACTGTGCTGGGCCCCTCAGCAGGCCTCGAAAGTGGCGACAGTTTCACAGATCGCAGCCCCCCAGGGATGGCGAGGTCTAATTTGAGTCCGCGGTGAGTACCCACTGTGCTGGGCCCCCAGCAGCCCTCGAAAGTGGCGACAGTTTCACAGATCGCAGCCCCCCAGGGATGGCGAGGTCTAATTTGAATCTGCGGTGTGTACCCACTGTGCTGGGCCCCCCAGCAGGCCTCGAAAGTGGCGACAGTTTCACAGATCGCAGCCCCCCAGGGATGGCGAGGTGAGTCCGCGGTGGGTACCCACTGTGCTGGGCCCCCCAGCAGGCCTCGAAAGTGGCGACAGTTTCACAGATCGCAGCCCCCCAGGGATGGCGAGGTCCCATTTGAGTCTGCGGTGAGTACCCACTGTGCTGGGCCCCCCAGCAGCCCTCGAAAGTAGCGACAGTTTCACATATCGCAGCCCCCCAGGGATGGCGAGGTCCCATTTGAGTCTGCGGTGAGTACCCACTGTGCTGGGCCCCCCAGCAGGCCTCGAAAGTGGCGACAGTTTCACAAATCGCAGCCCCCCCAGGGATGGCGAGGTCGAATCTGAGTCTGCGGTGAGTACCCACTGTGCTGGGCCCCTCAGCAGCCCTCGAAAGTGGAAAGAGTTTCACAGATCGCAGCCCCCCAGGGATGGCGAGGTCCCATTTGAGTCTGCGGTGAGTACCCACTGTGCTGGGCCCCCCAGCAAGCCTCGAAAGTGGCGACAGCTTCACAGATCGCAGCCCCCCAGCTGGCACGCAGCGACGAGCGAGGCGAAGGCAAGGGGGAAGAGAGGGGCGGGAAGGAAGGAAGAAAGGAGACGCGCGAGCAGTGCTCTAGTTAAAACGAGAACCCAACGCAGGAGGGTTGGGAATAAAAACCCAGAACTTTCCCGGAACTTTTGTTGAACTTAAACGGGACTTTGAACTTCCCAAGAAAATTACCACGGGGGCCCCTTTGCCTTGGAGCAGCATTACAAAACCAGCTGCATGCAGCAGATTTCTTACCCCCCCTTCCCTATTCCCCCCTTTCGTTCGGCCCAATCGTTGAACTGTATCATCATGACTTCTCGCATGTCTTATGATCCGCTAGAAGACTGCGAGCCAACTCCTTTTCGAAGCAGGGTTCTCTCTTGAATGGAGGCCCGTGCGGTGCTGGTCTTTCAAGGGAGCGCCTCTCGTAGTGACAAGGGGGGGGCTTGTAGGAAATTCTGGGGGAAGGACCTGGTTTCGGCAGGAGGAGGGAGAGGAGGACAAGGAAGAGAGGAGGAGGAGGAGGAGGAGGAGGAGGAGGAGGAGGAGGAAGAGGAGGAGGAGGAGGAGGAGGAGGAGGAGGTGGCAGTGTGAGATGCAGCATCGTTGGTGCATCGTGGGTTTACTCTGGTCCGCCTCCTCCTCCCCTGCCCCTCCACACCCCTGCTCGACCTGGGACGGCTGCCCACAAATACCGGACGCCGCAGGCGGGCCCCGAAGACGACGACAGCTTCGACGACGACAGCGACGCCGAAGATGATGACGACGGCGGCGACGGCGACAAGGCACCGACGTCGACGACGCCGACGACGACGCCGACGACAGCAGCGGCGGCGGCGACAACGGCGGCGGCGGCGGCGAAGACGACGACGACGACGACGCCGACGGGCGGCGGCGGCGGCGTCCGCCGCGCCGCTCCTGCGAGCAGTGCATGGGCGACAGCAGCTCCAGGCCGCCGAAGTGCACCCGCGCGCCGGCCTCCAGGAGAGCGGGCGAGGGCACGCGCGCGCGCCTCCTCCTCCTCCTCCTCCTCCTCCTCCTCCTCCTCCTGCCTGCCTGCCTGCCTGCCTGCCTGCCTGCCTGCCTGCCTGCCTGCCTGCCCGTCGCCGCCGCCGCCGCCGCAGGGGGGGGCGGAGGACCGAGGCCCGAGGCGCAGCGAGCGCGGCAGTCCGTCGCCGGGAGAGGGGGCGGAGCGAGGCGAGGGCGCCCGGGCACGCTCCGCGAGAGCGCCAGGTGCGCCCGGAGCTGGAGGAGGAGGAGGAGGAGGAGGAGGAGGAGGAGGAGGAGGAGGAGGACCAAGACAACGACCACGAGGACCAGAGCAACGACCACGACGACGGCGCCGACCACTACCAGGACGACCAAAACGACGACGACGACGACGACGACGACGACGACGACGACGACGACGACGACGACGACTTTGTGGATTGCACTGATGAGTATTGCTCGGCTGACTGACGACTGACTGTATGGTATCACCTTACCCGCCCATTTGTGTGGGCGGAGGCCTGTCCTGTCGTTGTTTCCTGCTGCGGCACGGTAGCCCCGTGGCCATATACCCTTGGCAATCTGGCCGAGGTTCCACCTCTGGTCTTTTGCCTGCGGCTTGCACGGGCTGGCCAAGTTCCTGATGGTTCCGCACTCCCTCGCACATAAATACCCGCAGCTGCAACAGAAGAAAATAGGAACCCGATCATGAGCCACGATCCTGTGGCTCGGGTGGGGAAAACGCTGCCGCATCTGGAGCCTCGAGTGGGTTCCAGAGACTTGTCTGGGGGGCCCTGATCGGTCCAGGATCGGTCATTGTGCAGCAGAATGTCGACAGCCATTGCAACATGCGAAACCTCCCCCCAACACGACTCAAGCAAACAGACGCGAGGCTTGGACCCACTGCTTACCTTTTTATATTGAGGTGGGACAGTGCGCTCTGGTGGCCGCTGCTTTCCGGGGGAGAACACCAAGGCGGGGCACACCAAGCTCAGACTGGGGTGGGAGTCGTTCCAACTGTGCCGTGGCCTGTCCTCCTGCATCACATGTCCTGGGACGTTGCGAAGACGTTTCTTGACTCTGGCCGCTTCCTTCTCGACAGCGAGCACCTTCTCAGCCTGGTCGGGGTGTACCTGGAAAACCTGGGCGGCCTGGTCAGTCTGGGTGTCAACAAGCTTGCTAGCCTCGAGCCAAAGGGCAGGAAACTCACGGTCTACAGTCAGGTGAATACTGTTGGTAGTGAAATGTTGGAGCTCATCTGCACATATCGGAGGCGCCAAAGGGGGCATGTGTCATGTCTTCATCACACTTGCATCCGTAGCCCGCTTGGCCCACCAGGCGAGACTTAAGGGAATGCCATCCCCCCGTAAAAATTAGGCGCTGGAACCCAAGGCATGAGGCGCTGGAACCAGTATCCCTGATAAACAGTGGGCACTGGATCCGAAGCCGTGGCGCGCTGGAACCACCGTCCCTCGTAAAAAAAATAGCGATGAAACCCATCTCTCTTGAAGGCATGAGGCGCTGGAACCACTCGTAAATGGTGGGCGTTGGAGGCGACGCCGTGGGGCGCTGGAACTACTGAGACCCGTGACAGTGGGCGCAGGAACCCATTTGTCTTAAAGGCATGAGGCGCTGGAATCACTCACTACCCCTCGTAAATATTGGGTGCTGGAACCGACGCCGTGGGGCGCTGGAACCATCGTCCCTTTTGAAAACTGGGTGTTGGAGCGCATCTGTCTGAAGAGCATGAGGCGCTGGATCCACTGTCCCTCGCCAGTACTGAGCGCCGGAAACTCACCCAGTCTAGGATTATGAAAAGTAAATTCGGGAGCGGCCAAGAGGGGGGTGTCCAAGAGGGGGGGTGCAAATCATGACCGGCGGCATGTGCGCGGCCCAGCGGGGGGCCAGGGACGTAATGAAACAAGACGAGGGCGCCATGAAATCTGGGAAATATCATGGCCCCCGCCATGATATCCCCCCCCCCCTAGTCATTACCCCCCTCTTTGCCGCCCCCGATAAACATGGCGGAGGGGGGGAACGGGCCCAGGGGCGGGGCTGGTCCTGGCGTTGCAGTCACGCCTCGTTCCCAAACTGGGCCTGTTCGCACGCGCTGGTGCGCGTGCGATGTCTCGGCCGGTGAGTCTGGTCGTCGGTCCGTCGGTCGGTCGGTCTGGTCGTCGGTCGGTCGGTCGGTCGGTCGTTCGGTCGGTCGGTCCGTCGGTCGTCGCTCGTCGTCGTCTCGGTCGGTCGACCGATCGGTCCGTCGGGCAATCGGTTCGGTCGTCGGGCGTCGATCGGTCGGTCGGTCCGTCGCTCGCCGTCGTCGGTCGTCGTTGCCTCGGTCAGTCCGTCCGTGGGTCGATTACTCGGTCGATCGGTCGTCGTCGGCCCTCGGACGTCGGCCCTCGGTCGGTCGGTCGGTCCGTCGTCGTCGTCGATCGTCGGTCGCGTCGGCCGGTCGGTCGTCGGTCGGCGTCGCTGTCGTTGTCGGTCATCGGTCAGTCGGTCGATCCGTCGGCTTGTCGGTCGGCTGATTGTCTCGGTCTGTCTGTCGGTCGGTTGTCGTCGCAGTCGTCGGCCGGCCGGTCGGTCGGCAACTAAGAGATGGCTCCCTTGAGGCTCCCTCTGGGCTCCCTCTCGGCTCCCTTTTGGCTCCTTCTTGGCTCCCTCTTGGCTCCCTTTTGGCTCCTTTTGGACAGCGAGGATGACACTGCAGAGGATCAGGAAGATGGGGAGTGAGGAGACTGAGGACATGTAGGGTGAGGGTAACTATAAGAATGAGAATGAGGATGGTGCTAACCATGATGAGGACGAGGACGAAGGGGATGATGAGGACGAGATAAGGATGCAGATGAGAAGGGTGAGGATGATGACGAGGACGACTGAAGGCATGATGGGCATGATAATTCTGAGGGGGCTGAACCAGCGGAGAGTTGTGATGATGAGGCTGCGGAGGACGGAGGGGATGGAGGATGAGAGGGATGACACGGATGAGCATGCTGAGGACGAGCCCGCGCGGTTCGTGAGCGCGCGGGTTTATCCTTGGGCGCGGTTCGTGAGCGCGCGCGGCCCTGGCGAGAATTTGACGGCCGTCGTTTCACGCGGCAGGTAAAGCGATCCACGCCCCCACCACCACTAACCCATGCCCCACCTAGTTAGAATGTTCACTACCATATCATTCACCCAACTGTAGGGCTCTCTCGGCGGTGATGTGGCTCTCCACTTTATGGCACGAAAAGTGGCGCCACGCAGAGGCGACTTGCAATCTCTTCCAGAGGTCGCGGTTCGTTCTGGATTTGCTGGTGTTAGGCCTCTCAGCGCCACGCACAACATAGGCCGAGTCGGTGGTAAAGTGAAGTTCGCCATCGGACGGTGGGTGATAAATCTGGGCCGCGGCCTCTATCCCGCAACTTAGGGCGGGCAGCTCAGACCAAATCATGAAGGTTTGCTTAGGCCCTCGGGGATCTCCCGTGGCGCCTCGTGGCCCCGACGCGGTCCCGAATGCGGTCCTGGTAAACACAGAAAATATGGCAAACGCCCCCCCCACACTCCTCCTCCTCCTCCTCCTCCTCCTCCTCCTCCTCCTCCTCCTCCTCCTCCTCCTCCTCCTCCTCCTCCTCCTCCTCCCCCTCCTCCTCGTCCTCCTCCTCGTCCTCCTCATCCTCCTCCTCCTCCTCCTCCTCCTCCGACTCCTACTCCCCCCCCGCTCGTTTTCATCTTCGTCGTCTTCAGGGTCGGCGGCACCGGCGTTAGGCCTTCGCAATATGGCAAACGCCCATCCGCACCGACGGAAGCGGTGGTCTTCCGTGTGGGCTCCTCCAGAGCCGCCCCCAGTTCCCCAAAACGGAGGCCCAGGGCCGTGGGAAGAGGTGCGAGCAGGCCGGGCCTCCCGAGGCCACGACTGGCCCGCCTCGAACGGAGGGCCTGCGCTGGTCCATTCGCTCGGGACGGGGCCTCGGGGCCAAAAGCGGGGATGCTGGCCGTGCCCTCCGGCCGCCTCTTGCTCGAGGTCAGCCGTCTCTTGGCAAGCTTCTAGACAACTGTCAGCGCTGCACTGTCGACTAAGAGGGAACGCGGTCTCTGGGGCATTGGCCTGGCACCGCGTGCATATGGAATCCGCTTGACTGTATATACCTGCATCGCTTAGCCGTGTTTTGGCCATGCTGAACCAGTGACCATGGCCATGAAATTCCCCTTCTGCCTGGAGCCGCCGCAGAAGTCATTCTGTCGAGGGAGCGAAGGCTCTGGCGGGGAGTACGAAGGTCCACCCCCTCACCTACCCCCCCCCCACCAAGGTAGTGATCGCTGGTGTGCTTCCAGGTTTGGCTCCACAGGCTGTGGGAGAACTAAAAAGAAACGGCTCATAATCGATGTCTCCTGCTTCGATGCTCAGCCTCCACCAATCCTGGATGGCTGGCGAGGCCCAAAGTAGATATGTGAGGTCAGTGGCCGCCCATCCCTCGTCCATGAGCACAGCAGTGGCCCCCGACTTCAGTCCTCGGACGCGACTCCAGCAGTTGGTCTTCGGCGTGTCATGCAGGCGTTGGGCCACTTTGGGCCACGCTCGGGCCAGCCTGGTGTGGGCGTGCCCACTGCCTTTGGGTCTGGTTACGCATTCAAGCCAAGCCTGCAGCTGCCTAACTCTGAGTTCGATACTGGGCATCCGGTTCCCCAACTCCAGAGCCAGGTAGGTAGTCAGGCAGCGTCCATCTTTCCGACCCCCAAGCGCCCCCGCGACCGCTCTCTGGCACTTGGTGATGGAGGTCGGTGCCAAGCCCGTGGCAATGATTCCGTAGGCAACGCGGGGCACAGGGGGCATGAGGGGGAGCTTGCGGCGAGCTGGCCGTAGGCGACCCAACTTAGAAATCTTGCGAAACTTAGCAAAATGTCAAACGATTGGCTGACTCATTTCTGGTTCTTGAACTTATGCTCTTGCCTTGAGCCTAGCCTGAGGCCTAGGTCGGCAACTACACAGGTCGGATGCAGCTTAAAGTCACTGACAAATTGCTAAACTCGTGAGAGACGGTCCGAGCAGTTTCACCGGAATATCGAGGCCCAGGGACCGAGCACCGCGGTAGGAACATTCGGCCGCTTGGGCCAAGCAGGGCGCCAGGACATGTTCCGACGACGACGACGACGACGACGACGACGACGACGACGACGACGACGGCGGCGGCGGCGGCGGCGGCGGCTGCGGCGGCGGCGACGCCGACGAGGACGACGACGACGACGACGACGACGACGACGCCGACGACGACGACGACGACGACGACGACGACGACGACGACGACGGTGGCGGGCGCGAGGCGCGAGGCGGCCGGGAAGCCTTCGGCGTGGGCAGCTCGAGGCAGGGCGCGCCGCTGGCCTCCGAGGCGGCGGCGGCTCGCGTCGCGGGGGGGGCCCCCCCGCGGCAGGCGTTGGCGCCGGCGTGCGAGGCCGCGCGGACTTCTGCAGACCCTGCGTGCGCCTTTTCCGAGAGGCCGCGCGGAGGATGCGGCGGAGACAGCAGGAGGCAATGATGCGCTCGGCTCTCGCGCGGTCGCACACTGTTCGCCCTGCTGGTTCGCGGAACGCATCATTATTTTGTATGTAACTCATGTCGTCCGAGCTCAAGAGGAGGAAAAAGTACTAGAGGCCTCCATGGAGTCGGAGTAGATGGGGTCGGAGGATCGCGCCGCATCGCCGATACGTCGGCGACGCATCGGCGATGCATCGCCGATGCACCAGCGATGCATCGTCGACGTGGGCGGTGCATCGGCGACGTCGACGCGAAGCGAGTCGGGCTCCGCATCGAGCCGTATCGGCGATGCCTCGGCGATGCGGCGCCACCCTCCGACCCCATCGGCTCCGACCCCATCTGGGAGGCCTACGAGGTGCGGCAGGCTCGTGCGGAGTCTGTGCGCGCATACAGTCGGGGCGTTGACCTAAGGAACGAGAAATAAGGAACGAGGCCCCTTTTTCCCATAAGTTAAGCTCCGATTTTCCATGGAAAACCTGGGGAAAACCCAAGGAGCGCTGCAAAACAACTAAGGAACACGGAGCCCCTCCCAAACTAAAAGGGTTCCTTCTTCAGCGGCCCGACTGTAGGTTTTTGGCACCGCGCCGATCGCTCCACCTGGCTCGAGCCTCTCTGGCCCTGGGGGCGCCAACCGGCCCCGAGGCCCGCACCTCTGCGATCACCTCGGGGGTGCGCCTGCCGGGCAGTTCAGGGCAGGCAGGCCAAAGGCAGCGATGGTCCTTGGCACTGCACTGCGAAGCACGAATCGATCGGCGGTGGACAAACCTCCCTTTAGTAAACCTCCCTTTAGTGAAAACAGCCCAGGACCGAAACCGTCGGACCTGAAAATAACGGCCGCGACGCCCTCTCGCGAACCGAAAACGGCCAATTCACTAATCGACGCGTCAGGGTAGAAGGTCTATCAACCTCCAAATCGATCGCGGCCCCCATCGTTCAAGGCTGCCTTCCGTCAGGTCCTGTGGCGCCACCGCGTCGCTCGGCTCAACGCGCGCAGAGGGGCACAGAGAGGAGGTCCACGTTGAAACCCTTCGCCAGCGTCGCCGGCGCGGCCGGCGTCGCAGGAACCTGCCGTGCCCATGCCGTAACTCTTCCCTCGCCCTTCCCTTGCGGGGCTCGCCTCGGAGATCTGTGGCCGGAACGCGCACCGAGAGAGGTCTGGGGACTAGCGGCATGGGTACGCCGTAGTCCTTTTCCCTCGTCGTCCTCCTCCTCCTCCTCCTCCTCCTCCTCCTCCTCCTCCCTCCTCCTCCTCCTCTCATCATCATCATCATCATCATCTCATCATCATCATCATCATCATCATCATCATCATATCATCATCATCATCATCATCATCAACAACATCATCACATCATCATCATCATCATCATCATCATCATCATATCATCATCATCATCATCGTCGGTCGTCGTCATCATCATCATCATCATCATCATATCAATCATCATCATGATCTCATCATCATCATCATCATCTCATCATCATCACATCATCATCATCATCATCATCATCATCATGATCATCATCATCATCATCACAATCAATCATCATCATCATCATCATCATCATCACCACACCACCATCATCATCATCATCACCACACCATCACATCATCACCATCATCATCATCATCATCATCATCATCATCATCATCATCATCATCATCATCATCATCATCATCATCATCATCATCATCATCATCATCATCATCATCATCATCATCATCATCATCATCATCATCATCATCATCATCATCATCATCATCATCATCATCATCATCATCATCATTCTCCTCCTCCTCCTCCCCCTCCCCCGACTGCTGTCTCCCCTCCTGGACCGGGGAAAGGGGGCAGGAACGAAAGTGGGCCTGCCTTGCCGCCCTCCTCCCCGGCGCTGCGGGGGCACCACACGGGCCCGCACCAGGAGGCTCCCGCGGCGACGGGGGGGGCCGCTCCACCGCGCAGCCGGTCCGAAGGCCCCCGCCGCCCGCCGCCCGCCTCTGCGTCGTCGTCGCCGCCGCCGCCGTCGCCCAGCATCAGTCGGCGGCGAGCGAAGGGGGGGAAGAAAGGAGGGGAAGGTCCTCTCAGAAGGCGGCTGGACCTCTCAGAGGCCCTCCTTGGCCTTCTGAGAAGCTGGTTCACGGTTGAGTATCGTTTAACCGATCCCCATCCCCAGCCCCCTAGATGGGGATGTTCGGGTTTCGAGGGGTGTATCCCCAACTGAGGTGGTAATTTGGTGGGGGCCTCGAAGGGGATGGAGGTGGGGATGAGGGTCGGTTAAACGATACCGAACTGTGTCTTCAAAGGGGGGCTCAGAGGAGGCTTCTGAGAAGGCCGGGGCACTTCCGAGCCTTCCGAGAAGGCCCGGCCCCTCTCACTGCCCTCCCGAGCGCGCCACCGAATGAAACGAGCGGGTCCCGGTGGGGCGACCCAGGGCCCCCCCTCCGGAGCGCTGTCGGCGAGGGGGCAGCTGCTGAGGGCACCCCGACGCCGAGAGCCCCTCGGGAACCACGACCTCGACGGCTCGAGGGGCCCAGGGGCACACAGATGAATAGGCACAAGTCCCAGGATCCCCCACGAGGCCGAAGCCGTGCTAAGATCTCCGGTAGCTGGTTAACAGTACTTCTGATTCGCGCGCGCGGGGGCCGCCCCTGGGGGGTCCCCGGACGAAAAGTACCCCAGCAAGATCCCGTCAAAATCCCAGCCAAGTCCCAGCACGGTCCCGGCCAAGTCCCAGCAGGCTCCCGAGAGCGCTTCCAGGAGCGCTTCAAGTGGCCTCCAAGAAAGGGCAACATGGTCCGAGACGGTCCAAGAGCGATCCAAGACGCCAAAGATGGCCTCCAGCCAGCCCGAAGCGCCTTCAAGACGCCCCAAGAAGCCTCCAAGAGACCTCCCAAGAGGGCCCACAGAGGCAGACATTTGAAATTTTCCTTCAGCTTTTGAAGGTTTTTGGCGTTATCGCGTGTTCGGCTTACCGGCGCTTCAAGACGGCCCAAGAGGCTTCCAGGATTGCCCCGTCACGGCCCAAATGTCCTATTGTGTATACGAAGCGGTGCTTTATGGTTTGGCGCTTTCTTGGGGGCGGCCTCTTCTGGGGAACAGGGGTTGCTGTGGTGCCCCCCCTTGTTCTATATCAACATGTTCAGAGATCTTCGATTTGAAACCCTCCTCCTCCTCCTCCTCCTCCTCCTCCTCCTCCTCCTCAGAGGCCTCTAGGAGCGCCCAAGACGGCCCAACTGGGGCCCCAAGACCGCCCCCAAAGGCCTCCAAGAGGGCCAGAGAGGCTCCCAAGACGGCTCCGAGAGCGGGCCCAGACGTGGGACCCGAGCGGACAGTTCGAGCTCTGGGCGCAGAGGTCCCCTGGAGGCCCCAAGAGGCCCCCAAGGGGCCCCCAAGAGACCTCCGAGAGGCCCCAAGACGTCCCCAGGGGGGCCCCCAAGAGGCCCCCCGTGACGCCCCCGGAGGTCCCAGAAACACCGCCAAGAGGCCCAAAAAGAGGCTCCAGGAGGCCCCCAGACGGCCTCCAAGAAGCCACGAACGCGCAGGCAATGGCTCAATACGGGCGAGCGGAGTGAGCGAAGCAATTGCAGAAATAGACACAAATCCCCGGGTCCAATGGGCCAGCGGAGTGCCAAGATCTCTAGTAACTGGTCCACAATATTTCTAGTCCGCGCGCGCGGGGCGGCCCCTTGGGGGGTCCCCAGGCGTACTCCGGCAAGGTTCCGCCAAACTCCCGGCAAAGTCTGCCCCCATGGATGCCGGAACTCCCCGGGGCAGTTTCCGCACCCTCAGAACGCTCCAAAAGAGCCTCAAGAGGCCCCGAAGATGGTCCAAGAGGGCTCCGAGTCGCCGACCAAGCGGTCCGAGACGCCCAAGATCGCCTCCACGCGGCCGCAGACGCCTACAGACGCCTCCAAGAAGCGTCTCCAGATGACCCCAGGACGCAAAAATCATTGGTTTTCTATGGTTTTTGAAGGATTGTGGCGTTCTCACCTGTTTGGCTTCCCGACGCTCCAGTCAAGCCCAAGAGGCCCTCAACATCGCCCCCGACGGCCCAGGAGGGCTTCAAGATGGTCCCAAGACGGCCCAAGATGGCCCCAAGACGGCCCAACAGGCCTCCAAAACAGCCCAAGATGGCCCCTTGGACTGCCCCAAGAGGGAGCCCAGACGGGGAATCCGGACGGACATTTCGAGCTCAGCCTCCAAAAACCAATCCAAGACAGCCCAAGAGACCTCCAAGAGGGCCTAAAAGCAGCCCAAGAGGGCCGCAAGACGATCCCAAAAGGACCAGGAGCCCTCGAAGACCGCCTCGGAAAGCCTCCCAAGAGGCCCCCAAGAGCTCCCAAGAAGCTCCAGAGAGCTCCCAAGAAGCTCCCGAGAGCTCCGGACATTTCGAACCCGACTCTCCCAGGAGATCCCCAAAGGCCCCCAAGAGCTCCCGAAGGGGCGCCCAAAATGCCCTCGAGAGCCCTCCCAACAGATCCAAAACAGAGCGGAACCTAGACGGTGTTTTTCGTTTTCGTTGCTGTTTTCGTTTTCCCTCGTTTCGTCTTCAGTCCGCCATTACCGCAAAGCGAAATCGAAACGAAAACGGCCCACGAAATCGCCAAAACACCGTTCAGGTCCACCCCTGCTCCAAAAATGCCCCTGGGTACCTCCGGATGCACCTCGAGCTGCCCGCATCTGCCTCGAGTGGCCCCGATGTGCCTCGGTTCGTCTGGCTGGATCCCCACAAGTCGACGTGGCGAAGAGTCGTCAAGCCGTTGGTGGAGCAACGAAAAACCAAGTTGGCAGAAACTGTCGGAGGTCCGCGCGGAGTTCTTGGATCCGCGCCGCGCCCGCCGCCTC